CCATCCATCCTGATGCTACCGATTGGTCCAGTGGTGAGAATCTTTGTCTTCTTGACATTGAGCCTCATACAACTCTTTTAAAATTTGCAAAGCTTTTATCATCATACCAAATATTATTTAACTTTACCAATGTCATAACAAGAGGAGGATTTTTTAGAATAACAACTGAATCATCTTTGTTACTAGAGCTGATACAGCTGGAGATTTTGCAACGAGAACAACTGACATTATTTTTAGGATAATCACCAGTGATCGCAGTATTACCAATTAATAAGACATATGTTTTAGGTACTCAAGACATGACTCTGGCATTTGTGACATTATCTCCCTTACATTTATCTTTTGGAGTACAGGAAATATCTATTGAGTTCATATTTGCAACTAATTTCCATAATTCAGTTTGATAATTATGGTGAATAACAGTCCAACTTTCTTCTACTGATCCAACAAGTTCAAATCTGCAGTAACATTTTTCTCTAGCTGACAGGGAGAAGTAAAGGTGGATCTGGAACATATGTACTTTAAGATTTAGCTTGAATTTTTATTGTCAGAGTCAGCAATATCACCATCTTTATTTCTCTCAGACGAGACATCTTGTGCAAAGTGTACCAGCTTTTCAGAAGCCACCTTTTACTTTCAGTGTTCTGTGGAAAAACATAAACATAGCCTTGACCCCATATTAACACAGGGTTGGGTCTTTTTCATTGTTTTGTTATTGCTTCCTTCCATTTAATTTCAGCATACTTTCATTGTATGTTTCCCCATTGTCTGTATGCATCAGAACTTTTATAATCATCCAAAATTTTAAAAAAATTTAAAATAAATTGTAAATGAGAAATACAATTATTTGAATTTAGGAGATATAGTATTCCAGTTCCCCCTTTCTTTAAGTAATTTTTGATAGTAGAAAGAGTATATTTTACAATATACCTTGTTTTTGAAGATTGTAAGGAATTTTAGTTTTATGACAAATAGTAAATATTTATAAAAATTTTGAAAACTTTTGCTGGTATAGCTAGCAGCATTATCAGTCTTGATTCTTTTAGGAATTTCTAATATAGAAAAAGCTAATAAGCAATGTTTTATAACTTATTTAGTTGCTTTTTCAGATACACAGATAATACCATAAAACTGGAATTGATATTAATAATAACCTAAATAAATTGCAATTTTTTTAAATTTAGGAATATGAGCTACGTTTATTTGTCAAATATAATTTGGCAATGATCATCTAGGATTTACTTTGAAATGTGGAACAGGTTATAAACATTTTTCATATGATTTTACAATATTTTAGCAGTTTCTTTTAGAATATGAAACATTTTATGTAAAGATTTACTGTTAGCATGGTGATTATGATGAAATTATTGTGCTTTTATTAAATTAAAATTTATTAAACATTTATTAGCCAATTTATTGTCTTTCACTAAAGGTCCTGGTAAAAAGAATGAGACTTAATATGACTGATAAAAAATATGATCATTTCTTTGTCTTATTAATAATTGTATGTGAAGAAATAATTATAAAACTATAGAATTTTTGTTTTGATAATATTTACTATATCAATATTTGGAAGTGCATTAACTATATAAATTATACATGTTTATATATAAAACTATATACATAGTTTTAGTTTATAGACTGAGGGTGAATTATTAATACTTGCTTAATAGCTTTTAATTTGGCTTGTATATTGAAAATGATGAGCATTCAACTATTTTGAAGTCTCTAATTGGTTCAAAAGCAGCCTTTTCTCTGGAAGATCCAATAGTAAATATTGCAAGAGCATCAGAAATTGGTAGATTAACAAAAACTCTAGGAAATACAAATGAATTTTTATTTGCAAAATATAATAATTTATCTTTTGGATAATGATGAGTAATTTGACCAGGATAATTGGCTAATGCAATTATCCATTTTGAACAATATTGATGTAGCCAATTAACTTGTAAAGTATAATAAGGGATAATAATTTCATAAGGTCTTATATTAAAACATTGTAATGACTCCTACTTTGATTTACCAATTGAGACACAGTTTGTGGATAAATTTATAAAACCTTTTTTGGAGTTTGACAAATGTGTTTAATGTAATGGTGCATCTTGCAATCTTTTCGTCATAATTAATGCAAGATAAAGAACAATTTCTTCTAAAATATCAAAGAGGCGTTTTAACTCATGTGTAGTTAATTTAAGATCTAGGTGAATCCATTTTATGTCTCCAAGCAATTTTTGAAAATTATTTAAAGTAGTTCATTTATCTACACGAATTTGTAAATTTTGTGGAAATACACAATTTTTCACAATTTTAGTACCCAAATACATAAATTGCTTATTAAATTGAACTTTATCTTGAGCAGTAATTAAACCACACCATTAAAGAGATAAAAGAACTGACAGCCTTCAGAGCTGCTGCACTTTTTACAAACTTTTGACATAAGGTGGAGCTGTTGATCATTCCTTGGGGGAGTACGCTGAAACGGTATCTTGTAAATTAACAAATGGAGCTAGGACTGCAAAGAAAACTCCCATTTGAGACAAAACATTTCTTCCCCATAAATTTAATGGAATCCATGCAAGACAGAGAACAGAAAGAGATAGAATCCTGAACTTCCTCCAAAGCTTTATGAGCTTTTATAGTTAATTCTCTTTTAGAATTACGATTAATATTTCCAATTAAAATTTTAAATGAAGGTTAAAGGTCTTGCACAGTCAGTTCTTAACATGGCTTAGTTTAATTAATCTTTTTTAGTGATTTTTGGAAATCATTCAGTGTTCCTTGATTACTGACACAAATTTGAAGTCCTTGAGGTTCAACACAATTTTTCTTCATTCTGGTTTCCAAATAGATACACTAAAATTTACTTTTCTTTAAGCCTTTT